AAAAAGACAAAAAAAAAATTTTTTTTTAAAAATATCTCTGGTATGGTCACATGCTAGGAAAGTGCTCTACCACAGAACTACATCTCCTCCCCTATTTTACTGTTTTGTTTTGCTATTATTGAGTCAGCCCTGACTGACCTGAAATTTGCTGTATCACTAAGACAATCAGGCTGGTCTTGAACTCAAAGTTGTCCTCCTGCTTCTGCCTCCCAAGTGTTGGGATTTGCTGATGCGAGCCATCGCACCCACCTGGCTATGTTTTCAAACTGGAAGTAGTGGTTGGCAACATTGTGAATGTATTATATGGAATAAAATACTGTGTTATACATATATAAAATACAACTTCTCATTGTAAACATTACTATAAAAATATGATATCCTATCACATTGCATTCTCTATTATATACATACCATGTGTAGTACAGCTACATATTATACATATTATAGTTACAGAAGATTGTATTTTTTTTTGGTCTTTTTGAGACAGGGTCTCCCTATAGCCACAGGTTGGCCTAGAACCCACTATGTAGACCAAACTGGCCTCCATCTCAGAGAGATCTGCCTGCCTCTGTCTCCCAAGTGCTGGGATTAAGGGTGTGAACAACCATGACCTGCTAGAAGGTTGTATTTTGTAACTACATAAAATTCTATAATATAAAAAACAGCCAGGTGTGGTGGCACACACCTTTAGTACCAGCACTCAGGAGGCAGAGGCAGATGGATCTCTGTGAGTTCAAGGGCAGCCTGGTCTACATAGTGAGTTCCAGGCCAGCTGTGGCTACAGGGAGATCCTATCTCAAAAAGACCAAAAAAAAATCATATATACTAAAACACTACAAAATGGTTACTTTACTTTTGTGTCATGTGTATTTTCCCTTATAAAAATAAAGGGGGTGGCCTGGGGATATGGCTCAGTAGATGCTTGCTTAGCATGCACAAAGGCTTCGGTTTGATTCCTAGTGTTGCATAAAATGGATGTGGTGGTGCACACCTGTAACCAAAGCCCTGGGGAGACAGAGGCAGCAGGATCAGAAGTTCAAGGTCATCCTTGGCTACATAGGAGTTCAAGGCCAACCTGGGATACATGAGATCCGGTGTCAAACAGGGCTATGGAGATAACTTAGGGTAAACTGCTTGCTGGGCAAGCATGACAACCTGAGTTCAGATCCCCAGCATCCATGTAAAAAGCTGGCTGTGGTGACCATGTTCCTGTAATCCTAGCACTGAGGAGGTAGAGACAGGAGGATCCCTGCTGCTTACTGATCAGGTTTGGAAACCCTCTCTGAAAAAAATACAGTGGTGATTGAAGAAGACACCCAACATTCACACACACACACACACACACACACACACGCTAACATAAAGAGTAAAAATGGGCCAGGAGCTGGGTGTGGTGGCCCATGCTTTTAATCCCAGCACCTGAGAGGCAGAGGCAGGTGGATCTCTGTGAGTTCAAGGCCAGCCTGCTCCACATACTGAGTTCCAGGCCAGCTGGGGCTACAAGGGAGACCCTGTCTCAAAAAGACCAAAAACAAAAACAAAACCCAAAACACAAGGGGCCAGAAATGTAGCTCAGTTGGTAGAGTGCTTACGTTGCATGAAAGAAGCCCTGAATTCAGTCCCCAGCATCAATTTCCAACTCCACATGAATTGGTGGTACATGGTAGTACACACATGTGGTCCTAGTACTAGGGAGGTGGACACAGGAAGAAGTTGAAGGGCATCCTCTGGTACATTAGTGATAGAGTGAGTTTTAGTGACATAATGAGTTCCAGGTCAGCTTGAGGTGAGACCCAGTCTTTTTTTTTTTTTTTTTTTTTTTTTTTTTGTCTTTTTGAGACAGGGTCTCCTTGTAGCCCCAGCTGGCCTGGAACTCACTATGTAGACCAGGCTTGCCTTGAACTCACAAAGATCCTCCTGCCTCTGCCTTCCAAGTGCTGGGATTAAAGGCGTGCTCCACCATGCCTGGCCAGTCTTTATTTTTTTAAAATATTTTATTTATTATTTTTATTTTATGTGTATGAGTGTATTGCCTGCATGTATGTGAGTGCACCATGTCATGCAAAGCTGCTGCGGAGGTCAGAAGAGGGCCTGGAATTCCCCTGGAACTGGAGTTAAGGACGGTTCATAGCCACCATGTGGGTGCTGGGAATCAAACCCAGGTCCTCTGCAAAAGCAGTGAGTGCTCTTAACTACTGAGCCATCTCTCGAGCCCCCAAAACCCAGTCTTAAGAAAAAAAAAAATCAGCCATGCCTGTAATCCCAGCACTTGGGAGAGCCAGAGGCAGATTAATCTCTGTGAGTTCCAGGCCAGCCAGGGGTACATAGTGAGATCCTATCTCCAAAAACAAACAAACAAACAAATATAAATAAATAGGGAAGGTCAGGCTAGGGGTAATATCACTAATTCGAGCTACAGGGGAGGCTGACAAAAGTGAACTGGGAGTTTGAGGTCAGTCTGTGCTAAAGATTCTGTCTCTAAATAAATAATAAACAGGAAAATAAAGTAGGAAGGTTGGAGAGATGACTCAGCAATTAAGCAAGCGTGCTTGCTGCTCTAGCATGAGGACCAGAGTTCAGATCCCAGGTCTCATGTAACAAACTAGGCTTGCTTCCGGGCACGCCTGGAATCCCAACATTGAGAGGTCAGCGAAAAGAGGATATCTGAGGCTTCCTGAACGCCAGCCTAACCAAAAAAGGGGAGCCCCAGGTTCAGTAAGAGACACTGTCTCAAAAGAATAAGGCAGAGCATTAAAGACGAGGACACCAACGCCCTCGCGTTCACGCGCGCACCCCTAAGCGTGCATAAGCACACACACACACACACACACACACACACAGAGTTTTTTTTTAAGTAAAAGGGCTCCACCCAGTCCAGTCCTTGAGTGACTTCCGGTAATGGTGCAGCGCAGCCCATGTCTCCTATGGACATTAGAATTAAGGACCTAAAGAGACGCGCAACCCCCGACAGTCTCGAACCCGGATCCTAAGAACAGGGCACCGGCAGGAGGGATCTGCCCCCGGCTGCCGTCAAGCGGCCTGGCCGTGTTTTGCGACAAGACGCGGGGAGCCGTCTCAGGCTCGCTTTCCGGCTGGTGCACGGACCCAGAGACCACCACTGAGAGCTCTCCTAGTGCGTGTGGTTTCCGACAGCAACCCTGGCTCTTAGCCCCGGCGGTGGCTCTGCTCTAGCCAGAGAGCGGGGCTAGGGAGGTTCTGAGCTGCCCCGAGAGGTGACCTTGGTCCAATCCTGTCGTGCCGAGCTGCAGCGCCAGTCTGTCCGACACCTTTCTTCTGAGCGGTGGAGGACGCCCGTTGCCCAGGAGCAGGGGGAGCGCCGCACTGCGGGGCGGGATCGGAGGCGGGGCAAGAAGAGATGCCCCTCCACGTGAAGTGGCCATTCCCCGCCGTACCCCCGCTTACTTGGACCCTAGCCAGCAGCGTCGTCATGGGCCTGGTGGGCACCTACAGCTGCTTCTGGACCAGTGAGTGGCCAAAGGCTAAGGCAGTCTTTCACGGCTCCCCAGCCAGGCCAGAGGTGGATTGGGATTTGGGCACTGGGAGGACTTAGCCTGGCACAGAAAGCCTCTGGCAGGTGGAGAGGAGCTTGAGATTGAGATCAACTCCTCTCTCCCTAGAGTACATGAACCACCTCACCGTGCACAACAAGGAAGTGCTGTATGAGCTCATTGAAAACCGAGGTCCTGCCACCCCCCTCATCACTGTCTCCAACCACCAGTCCTGCATGGATGACCCTCATCTCTGGGGTACTGGGCCAGTATGCTGGGTGCAGGGAGGTGGGGCAGGAACTGGCCCCAGTCAGACAAACCAGCATAGATTCACTTCTCACCAGGCTCTTTGCACAACCCTGACATTGTTTCTGGGATGTATCCCCTGACTGCTGGAACTTTTGTGGCCTCCTTCAAGGAATGTGGTTTGCACAGGATCTCGGATATTTAGAAGAAATGTGGAAGTGGCCATGTCACATCAAGGACTTTCCTTTCTTTTAGGAATTCTGAAACTCCGCCACATCTGGAACCTGAAGTTGATGCGTTGGTGAGGACAAATGGGCCCCTGGCACTAGCCCACCCATTTCTGCCCACATTCGCCTTCCTCCTTTACCCAGGAGGTGGCATCCAGCAGTTCAGGCAGAGCATGGGTGGGGCGCCACAGGCCCATCTTTGGGCTCCATTCTGCATGCCAATGATGACAGGCATTGTTCTGGAGGAGGGCAGGGTTGGGGGCAAGGAGCTGAAAGCCTTGAAGGCAGGGATGACTGGATCTATTGCTGCTGTAGGACCCCTGCGGCTGCAGACATCTGCTTCACCAAGGAGCTGCATTCCCATTTCTTCAGCTTGGGTAAATGTGTCCCCGTGTGCAGAGGTGAGCTGCTCCTTTGAGAGCAACTGTTCAGTCCCTGGAAGCTAGTGGTCATTGCCTCTGTCTTAGAAAGACTCATACGGGACATGCAACATGGGACCCAGCAGAGCAATTGCTTGACAGCACAGGTAGCAGAGGCTAGGGAGAAAACTAACTTCTTCGATTCTCTGCAGCTACCCAAGGATTGCTCAAGGCTCTGACCTAAGAATTCAAGGAGGCTTTATTTGTACCCCATTCTCTATGTCCCTTCTCTTGGGGAAGAGCAAAGTGTTGTCATACATGTCTATACATGTATAGAAAGCCAGAGGATTTTGCCTCTGGGAGAACAAACGGGCTTATGGAATGAGGGGCCTGAATTGAATGACCACTCAGTATCTCTCATGAGCCCTTACCTGTAGGGGCCCTCTTGATTCCCATTCTCCAGCTAGGGCTCAGATTTTCCTGACAGGGCCCAGAAGTATTTAGCTTCCAGCCCGAGGTCATACACGGAAAGGTAGAAAACTCAGGATTCAGATCCACATTGCTCTTACCTCCAGGGAAGCAGAATTTTTTCAAAGCAGAGATGGACCCGGTGTGGTCACACCTTTAGTCCCAGCACTGGGGAGGCAGAGGCAAGCAGATCTCTGTGAGTTCAAGGCCAGTCTGGTCTACATAGTGAGTTCCAGGTCAGCTGTGGCTACAGGGAGACCCTGTCATAAAAAGATCAAAAAAAGACGCTCTTATAAACATGGGCAAGCATATGCCAGATGCTAGATAAGAGAAGAAAAAGTTAGGAAACGTCAGGAGGACATTTTCATCTTTATAAGAGGTCCAGCAGAGACCACACTATCTTGCTAAAGGACAGTGGCATTATTATTATTATTTTTTTTGGTCTTTTTGAGACAGGGTCTCCCTGTAGCTCCAGCTGGCGTGGAACTCACTAAGTAGACCAGGCTGGCATTGAACTCACAGAGATCTGCCTGCCTCTGTCTCCCGAGTGCTGAGATTAAAAGTGTGCACCACCACGCCCGGCTTTTTACACCTATACTTGACTCAGTTCCTGCTGTCTGCAAATTCAGAAGACTTCTGTTTTCATTCTTTTTTCTTTGTTTGCAGTTTGGGACATGGAGCACAGAGATTCCCACATGCTAGGTACATAATATACCTCTGAGCTACACCTTTGGCCCTTTTATCCTTTTTGATAGGCACCTAGATTTTATTATAGTTGAAAACAAGTAAATTGGGCATGGTGGCACATTTCCTGTAATCCCAGCAGTAGACAGTAGGCAGAGGCAGGAGAATTGCTGTGAGTTCAGGGCCAGCTTGGTCTACATAACAAATTCCAGGCTGACCAGGGATACACAGACACCCTATTTTTTTTTCCCAAAAAAGTATGATGGCTCATACCTGCTTATACCACACACACACACACACACACACACACACACACAAGAACTCAGAGAGAGACTGACTGAGGACTGAGGACTGGGGGTGTAGCCCAGTGGTACAGTTTGTGCTTAGCTGGGAAAAAGCCCTGAGTTCAATCCCCAGCATTGTAAAAAATAAAACAAAAACTAGAAAATGAAATACTAATTTCAAGTATAGCAAAGATCTAATTACATTTTTTTTGGTCTTTTTGAGACAGGGTCTCCCTGTAGCCCCAGCTGGTCTAGAACTCACTATGTAGACCAGGCTGGCCTTGAACTCATAGAGATCCACCTGCCTCTGCCTCCCCTTGAGAGCTGGGATTAAAGGCGTGAGCAGATCTAGGTGTGAGCAGATCTAATTACATTTAATTCAAGTAAAAAAAGTGTGAAATACTTTGTTTCTATGTTAAACAAAGTATTTTTCCCTAAGCCCAAGATTTAGTTACAAGATAAGTAATTTTAGTAGAAATAGCATTTTCAAAAGCTAAAAAGTATGACATGCTTTTCCAAAGGCATATTATCATTTTTATATCCCAGTTTCACGCACAATGGGCAGATTTCACAAATGGTTTTTGTCCAGTATCTGTCGTAACCATCTCCTACTGTGTACTGCAATCCTAAGTAGGTAAACAGTGGCTCTTTCTGTTCCCTGAGATCATCCCCACTGCTGGCTTCCTGAATGAGCTGCTAGATCGATCAGGTCTCTGTTTAGGTTGGGCTGAGACTTCTGGAGCCCTAACCATACCTTCCAAATAACAGGCTCACAAAGAACTGTAAAGTCCATTGACAGTACACTGACCAGAGATAGCCCTGGTGTTGCTGTCTCCCTGACACACTTTCTTCATGCCCCACTTTATAAGATGAGAATATTTCTTTTTAAAAAAATATTTTATGGGGCTGGAGAGATGGCTCAGCAGTTAAAGAGCACTGGTTGCTCTTCCAGAGGACCTGGGTTCAATTCCCAGCACCCACATGGTGGCTAACAATTGTCTATAACTCCAGTTCTAGGGGATCCAACCCCTTCTTCTGGCCTCTGTGGGCTTGTACAACAGGAGTGCACTTACATACATGTAGGCAATACACTCACACGCATAAAATAAAAATAAATAAAAATTTTCACATAAAATTTTTTATTATTTTTATTTTATGCGTGTGAGTGTATTGCCTACATGTATGTAAGTGCACTCCTGTTGTACAAGCCCACAGAGGCCAGAAGAAGGGGTTGGATCCCCTAGAACTGGAGTTATAGACAATTGTTAGCCACCATGTGGGTGCTGGGAATTGAACCCAGGTCCTCTGGAAGAGCAACCAGTGCTCTTTAACTGCTGAGCCATCTCTCCTGCCCCTGAGGATATTTCCTTAACCTCCTCCCTTCCCTTCCTTGGTTCTGTCTACCCTGTGGTTATCATTGTGGAGATTCTATGTCCTGGTGACTCCAGGTTGCTAGCTAGCAGAAAGTGTTAGGCCTCCAAATCTACCCTGTGATTATTGACTGGGCCACCTGGATCCAGGTTTGTGTTGCCTTCTCTTAAGTCCAATCTTTTTTTTTTTTTTTTGAGGCATAGTCTCTTATAGCCCAGGCTGGCTTGGAACTCCTGATCCTCCTGCCTTTACCTCCTAAGTGCTGGGATTACAGGGTATGTCACCATACCCAGTTTACCAATTTTTTTGATGGTTCTGTGTATGTTCAGTGCTCACTGAAGTGTTCTGCCTTATCCCAGAAGCCTGTCTCAGGCAGGGTCTAAGCAGTAGCATCTGAGAAGGAAAGGCTCTGACCTATAGTATGTAAAAATTATATATGTCTGTGTCTGTCTGTCTCCAGCAGCGCAGGCAGGCAGGGGAGCAGAGGGAAGTAGAGGAGTTTCCATGGTCATCATTTTAGTAGGAGATACTGTCTGGGTCAGTGCCATGGTAAATACCTGTTATCCAGCACTGGGCCATCTGAGACAGGAAAACTGCCATGAGTGAGGCCAACTTGGACTGTATAGCAGACCCTTCTCAAAAACCAAGAAAAAGAAGATGCTGCTTGCATGTGACAAGCATTAAATGGTTGAGAGGATATTGGGTTTTTAAAAATATTATTTTTATTTTATGTGTATGCATGTATTGCCTGCATGTAGATAAGTACACCTATGTCATGCAATGCCCACAGAGGACAAAGAGGCTGGAACTGGAGTTATGGACAGTTAGCTGCCATGTGGGTGCTGGGATTCCAACCCAGGTCTTCGGCAAGAACAGTCAGTGTCCTTAACTGCTGAGCCATCTCTCCAGCCCAAGAGGATATTGTTTTAATATAGGATCTCACTGTGGCCCATCCTGACCTAGGACTCAGAGCAGTCCTCCTACCTCAGCCTCCCAAGTGCTGAGGTTACAGGCATGAACCACCATGTCCAGCTTGAGAGGGATATTGAACAAAGAAAGTGAAGAGCCTAGGTGACCTGGGAGAAACATGCTCTGGAAAGTCATGGGAAGGAGGTCCTGTGGGTAGTGCTGTGGGGGATGAGCTGCTGTGTCTATCATAATGAGCAAGGGAGGTGGTCCTCAATATATGAGCCTGTTACATTGACATTTGGAGAGCTTGCTCCCCTCCCCAGAACACGGCTCAAAGGAGACAAACTTCTCTGCAGGAGATGGTGTCTACCAGAAGGGGATGGACTTCATTTTGGAGAAGCTCAACCATGGGGAGTGGGTACACATCTTCCCCGAAGGTCAGTTGGGTACTTGCTCAGGGCCCCCCAGAATGCAAGGGCCTGGGTCCCAAGCCTTGTCTCTGTGCTATCACTAGGAAAAGTGAACATGAGTTCTGAGTTCCTGCGCTTCAAGTGGGGTAAGTGCTGCCAGCCAACTGGCCACAGCCAACCTCCCTGCACAAAGATGGCTCTGTGGCTCCCTGGACTCATTCCCTCTGGTAGGAGTGTCAGGAGCAGTGGGAAGGGGACAGGTGGCGAAACAAGGGCTAGTCTTTAACTGACGGACAGCAGAGGTGCTACTGGCCAGAGGTTGGAGGGAAACATGGCCCAGTTTGTGCCAATACATCTGCCTTTCCCCAAGTAGGAATTGGGCGGCTAATTGCTGAGTGTCATCTAAATCCTATCATCCTGCCACTGTGGCATGTTGGTGAGCCTGGGGCAGGGGACAGGGAGGGGGATTTCCTAGATGGTGTTGGGAGGGTTGCTGGGGTGCTAAGAGAGAGGTGCTTGGGGCTCCCTCTGGTCTCTTGTTGTCCTGCTTCCTGCAGTGGCTGGCTTTCTGTCCTCTGTGCTACAGGAATGAATGATGTTCTTCCCAACAGCCCACCCTACTTCCCCCGCTTTGGACAGGTGGGTAGGCACTGCTGACCTTGTCTGTCTGCCTGCCTGCTAGCTCTAACTGCCTTGTGTCTCCCAGCCCACACTATAAGGACTGATTCAGGATTTGCTGAGCATGAGCATGCAATGGACTGGGGGGAGGCTGAGTGGGGTTTTTCTGTCAGCAGGGCCTTTAAAATGGGAGTTGGAAATCAGGCTAGGGTAGGGGGCAGGACCAGGTGGAACAGACCATTGATGAGTTCCAGGACTGGGCTGGCCCTTGAATGCCACCAAGCCCAACTGCGTGTTTTCAAGAGGGAAAGTGGCCAATGGGAACAGCAAGCCCATCAGGGTCAAGACATGGCTCTGGCGTCCCAAATTGCTTGGCCTGGGGCTCTGGGCACTCCTTTGTTCTTTGTTACCCTTGGTGGCTGGCCTTCCCACAGAAAATCACCGTGCTGATCGGGAAGCCCTTCAGTGCACTGCCCATGCTCGAGCGGCTCCGGGCAGAGAACAAGTCTGCTGTGAGTTTCTTCCCCTAGTTGTCCTTAGCTCTCCCAGCCCCTCAGCCTCCCAGGGCACCTTAGACATGGTCCCTGAGGAGTCCTTGCTCTCAGGTGGAGATGCGGAAAGCCCTGACAGACTTCATTCAGGAGGAGTTCCAGCGGCTGAAGACACAGGCAGAGCAGCTCCACAACCACTTCCAGCCTGGGAGATAGTGTTGCCTGCCAAGCCTATGCCCTGCCTTTCTCAGCCAGAGGAGTGCTGGGCACCCCAGGGTTTGGGAAGAAGCAGTGCAGAACCTGCTCCAGCCCTCTTGGCTCTGTACTGCCTTTGGATTCTTCCGTGCACAAAACCTAGGCTGGGAGATGAACTGATGCCCTTAACCCAGATTGGCTCATAACCCCTGATGCCAGCCCCCTTATTATCTACACTTTCGCACCCAATCCTTCCATGCCTCTTGGGCTAAAGGCTGAGCCTCAGCTCTCCCTCCCACTTGCTGGAGGAGGGAGGAAGAATCTCAGGCTCCTTCTTCCCACCTTCTCAGGGGCTGGTGCTTGGGAGGGAGTAAAGCAGGCAGGCAAGCAACTACTTGGGTAGAAGAATAGGTGTCCTGGCCAGAGATATGGCAAGGGGACCTAAAGGGCCCCTTGGCCTCGCTGCCACCTGCCTGCCTTTGCCCATCCAGGGGCTGCTCACAACCTCCTCAGGGATGGCTGGCTGTCAGCCAAGTCTTCTTTCTTTGGTCTTGGCTTCTCCCATTGCAAGGTCTGTCCTGGATGGCCTACAGAGCTTCCCCCAACTACAGGCCTGTCCATGGGAAGCTGGCAGTTTAGAAGAACAGGTATTGGCCAGAATTCAAGCCTGCCTGAACAGAACCTGCTGGGTGGCAGAGAGGGCCCCTAAGACCTAACCATGAACTCCCATGTCAGGCTCACCCAACTTTCCAACCTCAACACCCCTTGTGTACTGGGGATCTGGATTTTCATGTTTTTAAAATAATAAAACATTTGTGCAACTGTACCGCTGACATCTGTGTAGGGATGTAGATGGGAAAGCAGGACCCTTGAGCTGGGACACAGACCATTTAAGGCTTCCTTCCATCATGGTCTGTAAGCCCTGTGGCAATGTTGCAAAAACAGACATTTATTCTGTAAAGGTGCCAAAGCAAGGCTAATAAACTAGCTTTAAAACCTCATGTGCCAGGTGTGGTGGTGCACACCTTTAATCCTAGCACTTGGGAGGCAGAGGCAGGTGGATCTTTGTGAGTTCAAGCCCAGCCTGGTCTACATACTGAGTTCCAGGACAGCTGGGGCTACAGGGAGACCCTGTCTCAAAAAGACAA